TTGAAGAGTATCTGGAAGCTACAGCTGGTTCAAAATGCAGCCATGCAGATGATATTAGGTGCTCCAAGGGTGGCACATATAACACCTTTGCTGCAGGAGCTGCATTGGGTGCCAGTTTGCTTCCAGGTCCAATTCAGGGTGTTGGTTATCACCTTTAAAGCCCTACATGGCATGAGTCCAGGTTACCCAAGGGAGTGTCTCATCCCCATTGCATGAACCCATCCTACCTGGTCAGGCAGAGAGAGCATGTTGTAGACCCCATCAGCGGAGAATATCGGCTGGCAAGACCCAGGAGAGCCTTCTCTGCCGTTGCCCCTGCCCTTTGGAATATTCTCCCCCAGGAGGTGTGGTGGGCTCTTACCCTCCCAGCTTTCCGAAAAGGATTAAACACCTGGCTCTGCCAGCGTGCATGGCAATATGAGCTCTAACCATCCCTGGGGGTGGTTAGTGCCCTGACAACGCTCCCTGAGTTATTTGCCAATTCTCCATCTTTCTTGGAATTTATTTATTAAGATTGTTTTTATACTGTATTTTAACTGATTTTATCTCTGCTGTAAACCGCCCAGAGTCGTTTCAATGAGATGGGTGGTGACAAATTTGATTAATTAATAAATAAATATTTCAAGTTGCTCTGCAGTGAGATGGGGGGTGACAAATTTGAAATATAAATAAATAAATACAATTTTTGAACAATGGACCCAGAAGTTAATTTTAAGACTGTCTGCCTCTATAGATAGGCTGTGCTTAAAAGATGCTATAGAAGAGGATCAGGTTTTACTGGACAAGACAGACTGATCTGAAAGTAGATTTAAAAATGACAAGCTACAAGGATGATATGGAAAAAGATGCTACGCTGGACATACAAGATAAATTGGCTGATGTCTTAATAATTATTTGTTAATAATATTTTGATTAGAGGTTTACATAGTTAAAAGGTAATACAGAATTAGAAAGGATATACAAACAAAAAAGAAGAAGAGAAATCTTAATTGCCGCAGTCGTTGGCTCCATGAAAATGAAGCAGTCTTCAATCCACCACTACTCCCCCAGAAGTCAACTGATATCTTCATAATTAAAAGGGATATACAAATAACAAACCAAGAGAGTGACCTGGATAATCGTCCTGTATTGGATTTACAAAAGAGGCTTGTTAAAGCTTTGAAGAATTTTGTGAGAAGGGAC